TTCAAAACCCAACTCTTATGCCATTAGAAAGAGGATCATGAAAAACCTATAAAAAAATGGTTCAAGAAATTTTAGTTCGCTCATAAAGCTAAAGTCCGCTTGCTCTAGCAAAAAATGCCCACTGTGGCAAAGTAAGGAAAACACTGAATTATCCAATATGCCCTAGCTCTAAATTAATGCTGTATTCTGCTCACTTCGCTAACTCATCATGCTGATTCCGAATATGTAAAAATCTCAAATATCGCTTCTCTCTAGAAAGAAATCATCAAATTTTGATATGAAAGTAAGCGACTATCGATTATTTTTCAGATTTTAGTGTCTCTTCGATTTATTATATTTTCTCTATATATAACAGTAAAATTTTTCTAGCACTTCAGTTTAGTAGAGCAAACATTTTCCTGCAGAATGAGAATGAGAATTAAAGTACCGTTATAAAAAAGCACGTATAAGTGCTTTTTTATAACTGATGCGGAGTTACTTTTCTGAATGCCCTAATATCGATTATTAATCGATGCATGCCTAATCCAGATCGGGGTGCGCTTCCTCACGAAATTTTTATTAAATGTTTAAAATAGTCACCATTATTATTTATACAAAGTGAGTATATGAAACTATCATTGCACAAAAATGATTTTTGTTGTGAGAGAAAGTCGCTAGCTATGTATATAAACCATGGTCCGTTTAGCTTCTCACGTACAAGCTAATTAAGTGTGTTTTCAAGTGCGAATAGAAGCGAAGAAATAAAGTTGTATATTCATGGTTTCAATCCATCCATATATTCTGTGATTCTAAGCGTGATTACAACGGTATTGTAGAGATACGTTACTACTTATGGCTGACCAAAAGTTCGTAGAACGATGTTTAAATTTTTATAAAATACTTAACATCGAAAGATTTATTGCACGAATACTTAGTAAAATATCTCGTCTATAATTCTAACAGTCTTTTAGATAAAGTCTATGACACAGTGAATATACGAACATTCCTTGGCTAGGATTCGAGTATATTTCTGAATTTCGCATTTTTTCTTTCCTTTCTCATATGATATTTTCTGACGTCATATGCACTTAAATATTACATGTAACAGTATATATTGAGTGCAAAGTCATTTATTGAGTTAGTTCATTCGATCCACTTACTTTTTTCGTGTGAATAAATCAGCATTTCCGATCGATACTTTGTATCAAATATCAAAGTCATCCTGAACCTGTGACAAAGTCTGATTTGAATTTTTTTTAAATCATTAAAATGACCGATGAATTTAATCGATATTATATTAAAATTCGGACAATTCTGGAAATAAATGCAAAGATAATTTGCGAGGAACTTACAACAGCATTGGGACCTGATGCTGCAGCATATTCAACTGCTGCAAAATGGGCGAAACATTTTCGTGAAGGGAGAGAGGACGTCAATGATGACTTTCGATCTGGTCGTCCGATTTCGGTACTTACAGATGAAAATATCGAACAAGTTCGACAAGTTATCGAAGATGATCCGCATTCAACCTATGATGATATCATAGCCGAGACTTCCCTCTCTCATGGTACAATAGAACGGATTATTCATGACTGTTTAAAGATGAGAAAAGTTGCATCAAGTTGGATTGCTCACAAACTCAGTGATGAACAAAAGCAACAACGACTTAGAGTTTGTCGTCAAAATCTAGCAAAATTTCAGACTGGTAAATGGAGATTATCTGACGTCATTACTGATGCTGAGACATGGATTTATCATAGACAGATCGGGCGAAAGTCAAGTAATGCTACATGGATTACATGGAAATGAACCACCAAGGACCATTGTTCGTCGAAATAGATCTGAACCCAAAACATTGTTTTGTTTATTCTTTAAATCAAATGGTCCTGTTCTTTCGAAATTCAGAAATATACTCGAATCCTGGACAAGGAATGTTCGTATATTCACTGTGCTATAGATTTTATCTAAAAGACTGTTAGAATTATAGACGAGACATTTTACTAAGTATTCATGCAATAAATCTTTCGATGTTAAGTATTTTATAAAAATTTAAACATCGTTCTACGAACTTTTGGTCAGCCCTAAGTACAATATCTTCAAAACTGATTGGTATTGGTGCATGCCTATATGCACTACATAAACTCGTTTATTCAGTAATATATTAGAAAAAGAACGACAGTCTTCGACCCGTTCGGTCCGACAAAGAAAAGTTAAGTCCCGAGTCCGGCTCGACGAGACCAGTCTTTGAATTTTTCTAACCTGGTTCGACCTAGCTCGGTTGGGACTAAAAATTCGGCCGGTGCCGATCTCTGTTATATAACTGATATTGGGGCATCTAGGAAAATTGTTATAACGCGGTTACTGAGAATCGCTTAGGCTTGTGGAAAGTCTCGCTTTCTAGACAAATGTTTGTTTTATCTATTTTTAACAGAAAAAAATTAAAGCCTAAAAGAGAGAAGTTTTCGTAAAGAATTACTGAAGAGACTCGACTAGTTATATAAGTGGTGATCAGTTATCACATACAGTTACAGTATTTAACAATGCTCTCTTTTTTGTCACAAGTAATTTTAAACGATTTTGTTCTAATAAATAGATAGAACAAACATTTCTGTACTAAATCAGACATTTCACAAGTCTGAGTGATTCTCCATAACAGCGTTATAGCAATTTCCCTGGATACCACAAAGAACAGTCGAAAATAACTGCGAAACTTGAATTTAATTTGCAGTTCCCTGCCCGGATGACCTAAGTGTTCTAACGGGTCCATAACTGATACATATCTATGTGTAAAAAAACATTATTTAGAACTTTTAAAAAAAAGGAGTGTTATGATCTGCCATTCCTGGCAGCTCATAAGACTGTGTTTTCTTCTTCTCCTTTCTTTCTATTATTGCATAACTGTTGTTCAACTTGCCTACTATATATAGCCGTTCACTTTCTTAAATAAAGAGGAGAAGTGAGTGAGTAGAACCTCACAATTGGTGCACTAGCCGACCGGTCGTCTTTTCCATCACGATGCGGTGCGGCTCGGGTGATAAAAGATTTATTTGGCTCAGAAGTTGGGTCTAGTCTTCTGGTCATCGTCGATCGTCGACCAGGCAAATCACAAGACAATGAAGAAAGAAACGGCACAATGGCGTGCTGCGTCGCATGTTTACTGAAGGGATGGTAACTCTCCTCTTCGAGCAATTTGACGATTGGCCTTTGGTAGTGGCGACCAAGAGGCTTCAAATGAATGACTTATCCTCGACCAACTACACCGTCGACATTTAGGCAAGTCAAAGCAACTTCGAGGGTGGCAACTCGAAGGCCAAACGAGCACTTGGCCTCGACGATCAAGCAGATTCGGCGCCAAGGCCAAGTCCTGCGTTCGGTGGCAAGTAGGGCTGTGTTGACATTCGCACAAGCCCAACGGAACGGTGGTGCGACCTCGAGTAGTGGCAGCTTGAGGCTCGAAATGGGAACTTCGCCTCGACGAGAAATATTTCGGCTACAAGGGCATTCCCAGTCCACGCGTTCGACAAGACGGGTGGCAAGACAGGCTTCGATGTCCAAGGATGAGAAGCTGACCCTGTGTATATGTACCCTTTCCCCTCTTTCCGTTTGTTTTCATGTTTATGTTCTCTTCTCTTGTTCCTGTTTTTTTGTGCTTTTTCTGTGTTTTTTTCTCTCGTGTTAACTTCTTCGTTGTGCTAATGATTTTTTTGATGCGCGGGGCGCGCATCTTTGTTTGGCCGGGGAGGTGTTATGATCTGCCATTCCTGGCAGCTCATAAGACTGTGTTTTCTTCTTCTCCTTTCTTTCTATTATTGCATAACTGTTGTTGAACTTGTGTACTATATATAGCCGTTCACTTTCTTAAATAAAGAGGAGAAGTGAGTGAGTAGAACCTCACAAGGAGCAAAACAACAAAAACAAAATAAAACGGAAATCTATCGATATTGGTACTTGATTTTTACATCATGTTGAGGAGGAGGTACATCAACACTACCGACTCTTTCAGGTTGAACTTTTGGCTGACTACTTGAAAGTTTGTCGTTATCGATGAATTCGCATTTGATGTGCTGGAGAACAAGTGCCAGAAATACTTTTACTTCGTTTTTAGCTAAATATCCTCCAGGACACATTGATTTTCCACCACCGAATGGACTATAGGCAATGGAAACTTTTTGTTCGGCTAATTCGAGGTTAGGTGAATTTAAAAAGCGATCGAATTTATATTGGAATGGATCGGGAAACAGTCTTTCGTCATAATGAGATACAGCTGGGAAAAGTGTGAGACGTTCTCCTTTACGAAGCTTTAGTATTTTTCCGTCATAAAGTTCGAGATCGATATCAGTCAAACATATCCGAAGAACCATTGGTGGTGAGACCATTCTTAATGTTTCACACGCAGCACTTTCCAAATTGACGCATGATGCCAGTGAATCATTTAACCATTGAGACTCATCAAACTCGTTTCTCTCATCCAGGATCACTTCGGGTAAAAACTGTTTGACTTCGTTGCATATTGTGGTAAGTGCTTGATGATCATGAAGAACGTTGAATAAAGACCAAAACGCAGCTGGAATTGTGTTGGCTATCGCCGCCCGGAACCAAACCATATGATTTGTACCAATATCTAGTGCTGTGAACCACTCTGGATAAGACTGCATGGTATCTGTGCGAAATTTTGTGAGACTACTAGAGTTTTTTGCAGATGCAAAACGTGCAAATGTTTCGATTAGTTTACATCTTGCATGAAGAGCTTCTCTAAGGAAAAGTGAATAGACAAGATGAGGCGATTGAGCAAAGAACCAATGAAGTTTGGAATCGAATAGTTTGAAATCCCTTTCTATTAGAATCGGATCAATGTCACCATAAAGTGTTTTTGCTGATGCTACAAATATGAACATGTCACTGAGTTCAAATAGGCCACATATTTTCGGCTTGCCGTTCAGTTCATGTTTGTCACTTATCATGCTTTCACGAAGATTTTTGATGAACGTAGCTGTCAAACGTTTGAGTTCAATATTTTGTAGATATTTTGGCAAATTACGATTGATTACACCGCTTACTTCAGGATGTCCTGTGACAAAGTGAGAAGTGAAGAGGAAGGAAGAACAAATGACAATGCTGAACCTGTGTTTATAGGTCTTAGACCGAAGGTTTTAATTGACAACTCTTCACCAAGCATATGAAGCTGACGATTTCTTATGGCTGTGTTCCAATTTCGAGGTTCAGTGATAAAAGTTATTTCTGTACTCATAAGATTAATGGTGAATGTTGATCCATAGCGCTGACGGCAGCACAAGATGAATTTCATTGGATCTGTCTGATATTCAAACACATTTCCGATGAATGGTATCAAGTACGGCACACGAACTGATCGATTAACAGTAGACGTTAACTGACTGCGAAAATGGATGAAGAGGCACAAAAAAACATGTGCTAAGCACAATGTAGGCCAGGCAACCAGTTGATCAATTCAATCGATGAATTCAAGCACTTCTCCTATGACATCTGTAGCTGAAGTGAGTAAATGAGCTGGATGTGTTTTTCTCTCCTTTCTGCTGTCACGGTTCACCTTTATGCAATCTACAAAATGGTGATCGCTTACGGGTATGTGTGTATGCAAACATTTTCTTTATTCTTTCCTAACCCACTCATATAGCGGGAGCTGTTTTACAGTTATAACATGTGTAACAACCATGGCAAGACGAAAATAACTTCTCTTAATAACAGAATATCTGCCTGCCATATCACCGGAAAAAAATAAAGTTAGTTTAGAGTTGCTGAAAAGTGGTTTTTCGTATTCAGCACTCGATAACCCGGAAGATTTTCTGTTTTTGGCCCGAGGTACTTCCGAAAGTTTAAGAAAAGTTTTCAAATTAATATTATTTTTCCATGGAAAACTTTTTGCGCCATTTTGTTTCAAAATTTTTCTTAAACTTTCGGAAGTACCCCGAACCCGAAAGGTTATCGAGTGTGCTGAATACGAAAAATCACTTTTCAGCAACTCTAAACCAACTTTATTTTTTTTGTTCCGGTGATATGATTTATTCTACACAAAGCAGCAGCCTACTTGAGATCAAATATTTTTCTATTGTGTGTGCAAACTCTTTTCAAAACTCTCCTGTACGTTCTAGGTTAGTTTATTATACGATTGTGTTAATGGGATTCTGTTGTAGTAACGTATCTCTACAATACCGTTGTAATCACGCTTAGAATCACAGAATATATTTATAGTTCTAATGAGCTTCGCGAGCAGGATTGATAGAACAATAGCGCCTTGCATATAATAATCGTCTTACAAGCTAGCTATAGAATTAGTATTGAACATGTCACTCGCGATATTAAATTATAAAAAGTTATGGCTGATCCTTAACGTCGTTTCAAAACAGATAAAACATTCTGGAATCAAATATCAAACTTTGTCTTTCATCTATCAAGTATTAGATTTGATGGTATTACTACTTGAGCTCTATCCTCTATATATCCAAATGTACCCGGTTACGAGTGCTGTAGATATAAATCCAACACTTACTGGCTTATATTATTATGTTTGGCTAATATTTCTGGATGTTCAAATAAAACTATATGCTTCATATCTTTAACATGTTTAGCTGCTTTTGAATATTTAGAACTGGATGGATGTGTACACTCTTTGTGCTGTTTCATTCTAATCATTACTTCTAAACTTGTCTGTCCGATATAAAATTGTTCACAATCTTCTTGGTAAAATTGTTGTTCTATAATCTCTAGTCTTGGTAAAATAAAATTGTTCAGAATCTTCTCTAAAGATGGTGAACAATTTTATATCGGACAGACAAGTTTAGAAGTAATGATTAGAATGAAACAGCACAAAGAGTGTACAGCTCCTAAAGCTTCCAAATAAAGGACAAGTGGCAGAATGTAAGGTTTCGTGCCCAAAAAATTACGCAATGAGTCATACATATTCGGAATCAGCGTCGAATTCTGAGTAAAACTGTATTCTCAGATCGTTCAAATTCGCGAAAAAA